GCAGCATCAGCTCAGGCCACGCAGTCCGGCTTCTGCTGTGCCGCCTGTGGGGACAGATGGTGGCAGTGGGAGCTGCGGTGTCACCCCCAGCCCCCCCTGTGACCTCCAACCGCCTCACCTGAGTGATGCTGACCCCCGTCAGCGCTTCCACGGCGCCGGGCAGCTTTGTGACCACATCCAGGATCTCTGCTGGCAGCCTCCCCACGCCGATGTCCCCGGAGCCTCCGGACACCACCGTCACCCGGCGCGTCCCCAGCAGCGGCTGCGCCACCGCCTCCGCCACCTGGCCCCAAAAACGCCGCTTTTACACCCAAAATCCGCCCCACAGCTGAGACCCCAAAGCCATCGGGGTCCCCACTGCCCCCTCCGAGACTCCCAGACCGCCTCCATCCCACAGCAGGAGCCCCAGATGCCTCCTGGAGACCCCGACCACCTCCCACCTCCCTCCTAGGGACCCCATGTCCCATCTGGGACCCTCTGCCCCATAGCAGAGACCCCAAATCCCTCAATCCTTTGGGAAGTGGCCCCCCAAAAACCCCATGGGGGCCTTCTATCTCTCTCTTGAGATGCCCAGGCTGCCCCCCTGCTGCAGCAGGGACCCCAAATTCCCCCCAGAAACCTCAACTGCCCCAAACCCCTCCCAGGGACCTTCAGTCCCCTCTGGGACCCCTGTGCTCCACAGCAGGGACCCCAAATCCTCCGATCCGTTGGGAAGTGACCCCCAAAATCCCCCCGGGATCCCAAATGCCCCCCTTCACACCCCCAAACCGCCCCCAAATCCCTCTCAGAGCCCCCAGGTCCCTGTGGGACGCCCCACCCCACTGCAAAGCCCCCAGATCCATTGCGAAACGACCCCACAAAGCCCCACGGTGACCCCAAATCCCCCCTCAGCCCACCCCCAAATCCCACTCAGGACCCCCACGCCTCCTCTCTGTGCCGCCCCACGCTCCTCTCAGAGCCCCATAGGGCCGCCCCATAGACGTGGGGCCGCCCCATAGACGCGGAGCCCCACCTGCGGCAGCCGCTGCAGCACCAGATCCACCACGGCGGCCTCACGGAACTGAGCGAACGCCGCCGCCTTCGCCTCCGCCTGCGCCGCCTCCGCCCGCGCCCGCGCCGACACCGCGGCAGCCCGGGCAGCTCCGGTCACCTGCGGGCAACACGACTGCGTCGCCCACCGCCACCGCCAGGGGGCGCCGTCACCGCGTGTCTCCCCACTACCAGGGGGCGCTGTGCTCAATGTGTCCTCCAGCACCACCAGGGGGCGCTGTGCTCAATGTGTCCTCCAGCGCCACCAGGGGGCGCTGTGCTCAATGTGTCCTCCAGCGCCACCAGGGGGCGCTGTCACCGTGTGTTCCACTGCCACCACGAGGGGCCACGGTTCTCAATGTATCCTCCAACACTGCCAGGAGGCGCTGCCATTGTGTACGTGTGTGTTCCCAACTGTCCTCCAACACCACCAGGGGGTGCCGTTCTCGTATGTCCCACCACCAGCAGGGGGCGCTGTCCTCAC